AAGGCTTCTTAATTTATATAACTTACAGAAGCTGATTTTAATCTTGCACTTATTTTACATAAGAATGTTCTTACATAAGAACGGATCTTTGCATAGATAAATATGGATCATAGGACACTGTTATGTGGCTTGACTAAAGTTATATTGCTTAGAACAGAGAGGTAATGAAAGTTTGTTGGCTTTTTAAAGTTTGTTTAACTTTGGCATTTTTATATCCAGGCTGGTTGGCATGACAATTATGATTCGTGGCAGGTGGCACATTATTATAGTCATGATATGCTCACAATAACCTTATTATGTATGTTTATTATTAGGTAAGATTATTATATTGAATATGTTCACACTGTGTGCTGCTTACAAGTTTACAATTTCTCTCACTGCATTTAACATACTACTTGTGTTTCACTTTTGGCACAGGTGTCTGCTTTCGTATGGTAAGTAAACAATTTTTTTGTGACACTATGTAGACATACTGCATGTGTAAGTATTCTATTGCTCATTGCTGCTTTAAAACAGGGTCTGTAGCAAGGTTGCAAACCCATGTCACCTGAGAACTAAGCATGGGCATACTGCTTCATCCCATTCCGTCACCCGCAACCCACTGTTCAGAAAGGTGGATGTTGATCACATATTTGTATTGTACAGTTTACTTGCTTCTAGTAGTAGTCGTCGTCGTCAAGTATCATAAGCATGTATTAAATGTCACACCATAACAATCAGTAGTTTGGAAGGGTTGTATGAAAGAAGCCTGTTCTAAAAGCAACCCAGAAAATGCAACCAGAATTGTGCTGTGATCAAATAAACCCAAAGTAAATTTGACCAAAATAAAATTGTAAAAAAAAACAACTTCCACACACAGCATCTGTATGTTTCTGTAAATATGCTTTGAGATGACGTCCATTGTAAAAAGGGCATTACAAATAAAATTTAATTGAACTGAAGGACTGTGACGACACAAGGTTGTAGTCAGGACGCAGACTCGGGTGTCGGAGACAGGCGCAGATCAGGGTTTATTAATCCGTTGTAGATTAATGTAAAACACAGTCCTCATCCAAATATAAGAAGCTTAACATAACATCTCTGATTTAACTTCAACACAAGTGTCATTAAACAAACATAAGCATAAACATACTAACACAAACAATACAATAACCCGTGACGGGCTCTCAAACCCCGGCATCTAAATAGCTTAGGTCATTGAACATAATCCAAAACACCTGTCTTCTTGAAAGAAGCGCCACAGCGGCCTCCCGCGGCCGTGGCGTGACACGACAGTCTCTTCCGTTGTAGCGCCACAGCCGCTTCCAGCGGCTATGACGTAACAGAACCCCCCTCCAAAGGGTGGTCCTCCCGGAGCGCCCAAAAAAAACGCCTCCAAAAGGGGGTCCTGGGCCCCTGTGCCAACAGTCTGTACTTGCCCCGGGAAGAGAGGCCGCCACAACAGGGCAGCCAGTGCACAGATCGACCCCTCCAAAGTCCAGGCGCCGCCCCCGACGGCACTGGATCCGAAAGTCCAGGCGGGACGCCGCCCCCGGCGACACTGGAACGCGGGACGCCGCCCCCGGCGACACTGGAACGCGGGACGCCGCCCCCGGCGACACTGGAACGCTGCGCACCGTCCCTGTTGGCTCAGGAGCATGGGATGCTCTCAGCGGAGCTGGTGGATGGAGGCATAGCCTCCTCCGCCGAGGCCTCTCTGCAGTCCTCAGGGCGCAGCCCTGCTGTTGCCCTGCTGTTGCCCTAGCCCCCCCCAAAAAAAAGTTTCAGGGTTGACCTCCCCGGCTGGGTAGGCTGGGCACTCAGGGACTCTGCTTTCAACCCTGCGGCTCTTCTGTTCCACTCAAAGGATTCGTTTCCATTTGCCTCGGAGGATTCACCTTCCGCCTCGGAGGATTCACCTTCCGCCTCGGAGGATTCACCTTCCGCCTCGGAGGATTCACCTTCCGCCTCGGAGGATTCACCTTCCGCCTCGGAGGATTCACCTTCCGCCTCGGAGGATTCAGACTGGGTCTGCACATGGACGTCGCGGACTCTAGACTGGGTCTGCACATGGACGTCGTGGACTCTAGACTGGGTCTGCACATGGACGTCGCGGACTCTAGACTGGGTCTGCACATGGACGTCGCGGACTCTAGACTGGGTCTGCACATGGACGTCGCGGACTCTAGACTGGGTCTGCACATGGACGTCGCGGACTCTAGACTGGGTCTGCACATGGACGTCGCGGACTCTAGACTGGGTCTGCACATGGACGTCGCGGACTCTAGACTGGGTCTGCACATGGACGTCGCGGACTTGAGACTTCGATTTGACCGAGCTCTTTAGTTCTTGCATTTCGGCAGTCAGCTTCTTATTCTGTCCTTCTAGCTGCTGTCATGCAGTCTCATTCTTATGCGCCGTGCGGCACTCACCCGCTAGCTCGGTGCTCAGCATGTCCATCTGTGCCCTTACTTTCTTCAATCGGTCCTTAACGAGTTCAATCCTGACCCGTCTTTCATCAAGATCCTCCATCAGTTGCCCATTTTCAGCTTCCAGACTCTTGACCTTGTGTTCGCACTCTTGGGCGGTGCTCTGTGCCGCATCTCTCGCCACTCTGAGTTCATCCATCTCCCGCAACTGGTCCCTTACTTGAGTCTGGACTTGTCTTAGCTGTCCTTGTGCTTCGACTCGAGCTTCTATGGCCTGGAGGAGTTGAGCTTAGCGCTCAGACAGATCAAGTTCCAGCTGCTCCTTTGCTGCTACAGCCTGAGCTCTCAATCTTCGTTCATCCTCCAGCAGCTCCTTCAGTCGACTCTGTTCCTCTTGCATTTTTTCCCTCCTTTATCCATTTCCTTCTTCTGTTTCTCACGCTCATTAACTCTCAGCAGAGACTCCTGCAGCTGAACTTCACTTTTGCTTTGGCGAGCTTCGGAATCCTCCTTATTCTGAGGGACGGTGATTGGGCGTGAGGCGTGGCATGTGTTGGAGATTGAACGTGGGCTGTGGCTGAAGTTGGGATTGGGAATTTAGGAATGAGCGGAGTTCTGAGAATTGGGTCAGTAGACTTGGAAATGAACAGATCTCGCTTAACAGGATGCGCAGTGAGTGCTCCTTCTCTTGTTGTCTCACTCGCTCATAATGTAAATGGAGTGGAAGTTCCGCCCTAGTCGTACTGTTAATTCTCCCCAGCACGTCATTCAGGTCATAATTCAGCCCCGGTTCTCCATACACATCCAGAAACACATTTAAAAACTGCCGAATGTCCTCCAGCAACCCAGGTCTCGCGGCCACTTCCCGTTGTGCCCATTTGTGAACGGGGTCAGAAAAGCGAGACATGATAAACTGAATAAACTGTTCTTCAGTAGGCTTAGGGTCACACAGACTGGAGAAATATCGCTGGCAGTCCCTCACAAAACCATCGGGATAGGCAAGGCCATCATACCGCTCTGGCAGATTTGCGAACGACCTCTGCGCGAACTGCAGTGAATCCAAGGCGTGGAGGATGGGCGTGGCACTTCAGCGTTCGCTCCGCTTTCTCGCCGCTTCCATGATCAGGCAGTTCGGTTCGCTCCAGCGGATCTGCTGTCTCCTTTGTAACGGGTTATTCTGTGACGACACAAGGTTGTAGTCAGGACGCAGACTCGGGTGTCGGAGACAGGCGCAGATCAGGGTTTATTAATCCGTTTTAGATTAACGTAAAACACAGTCCTCATCCAAATATAAGAAGCTTAAAATAACATCTCTGACTTAACTTCAACACAAGTGTCATTTAACATAAGCATAAACATACTAACACATACACAATACAATTACCCGTGACGGGCTCTCAAACCCCGGCATCTAAATAGCTTATGTCATTAAACATAACCCAAAACACCTGTCTTCTTGAAAGAATCGCCACAGCGGCCTCCCGCGGCCGTGGCGTGACATGACAGTCTCTTCCGTTGTAGCACCACAGCCGCTTCCAGCGGCTATGACGTAACAAGGTCAAGTAGTCATAGGGTCATGAGCGCCCAAAACTTATTGAAGAATGTGGGGAGCGAAGGCTAGCCTATCTCGTCTGATCACACAGAAAAGATACTGTAGCACAATTTGCTGAAAATGTTAATACTGGCTATGATAGAAAGGAGTCAAAACACAGTGCATCACAGCTGGCTGCGTATAAAGCGGTGTAACTGTACACTGGTCAGAAGGTGACCTGGTTTGATAAATCTCGTTTTCTTTTACATCACATGGACGTCCGTGTGTGTGTGTGTCACTTACTTGGGGAAGAGACTGCACCAGGAAGAAGGCAAACCCACGGCTTTAATATTGATGTTAATTTGACATGTATAACCTACCTAAACATTGTTGCAGACCAAGTATACCCCTTAATGGCAATGGTTTTCTCTTATTATGCTCCTTGCCACACTGCAAAAATTGAACATGACAAAGATGAAGAACAAGAACAAGACAAAGAGTTCATGGAGTTGACTGTATGCCTGCTAATCATACAGCAATGCAGTTACACAGGTACAGGTCATTTCATTTTCATACCAAACATCTGAATGGGGGTAAATGTAATCTCAGTGACTTTGGCATTGGCATATCGGTTGGATCCATGTCTGCTGTTTTGAGTATTTCTGAAAATTTCCTGGTGTTTTCATGAGTCTCTCGAGTTTACAAAGTATGTGGGTGGAAAATCTTTGTTATTGAGAGAGGTCACAGGGGAATGGAAAGATTAGTTTGAGTGGAATAAAAGCAGAATGAAAAATTTAAAAACACTGGAGTGTTTTTTAATTGTGTTTCTTACTCACATGTTGCCATTTGAACAGACCCTGCTTTCTTCTTCTTCTGGCTGCTCCCGGTATTGGCCACCATAGCAGATCAACCATCTCCATTATGGAGATCCAGTTTATGATCGACATATTTGATTTGTTCTTATGCCAGATGCCCTTCCTGATGCAACCCCTCATTTTATCCAGGCTTGGGACCATCACTGAGAATGCACAAGCTTGTGCAACCCCAGTGGCTGGGTTTGGTGCACAGAATGGGACTCAAACCCACAATCCTGAGATTAAGAATATTATGCTCTACTGACTAAGCTAGCAATAACAAAGCATCCATGAGAATAATAGAAAGTTAGAACCTCTGCCTGGCTCTTTGAAAGTTTTAATTTCTTTCTGTGTATTTCAGTACTCGGAGAGGAAGGGACTCAGTCTTGGTTTGGTTGGCTGGGTGAAGAACACAAACAAGGGGACAGTGGTGGGACAGGTTCAGGGACCACATCATTTGGTCAATGAAATGTGAGTGCTATATATTGTACATAGTAGGCTACATAACATTTTTATTGAGTTTTAAGTAACTTATTTCACTCAGTTTAAGATTATAACATCTGTTCATGAAAATAATTCAGAATTGCTAATATTTTGGTCATGAATCCTATTTCATCTACAGTTGATTTTGTTTATTAGAATATGAGCTTTCTTTTTCTTTTTAGAAATAACAACATAAAAAACAAATAAAACAAAAGAACAAATGGACTTGGTTCGGGTGAGTACGCTAACTTGAGCCTAAAAGTACTGCTAAAATAATACCATAATACAATAATGGCCCGAGAAAATTGTTTGATGGTAGATTACAAGTAAATTAAATTCACCTATATTCACCTTTCTATATACACAAAGGTGGCTATACATTCATCTTGGAAGTGGGGAGATGATCACAGAAAAATAGAGGGCAGGCAAAAGCGTGGTCAAAGACGTAATCGAGGGTCAAGGTAACTAGGCAAACAAACGACAAGAATAAAGGCTTGGAAACGCAGCGAACTAGTCAACTGAACGTATACTTCGCATTGACTCTAGGTGAATGACATCCCTAAGTACTAGCGGTGAGAGTGTGTGTGTGTGTGTGTGATTGGTGCCAGGTGTGTCTGATCAGAACTCCGGGGATGGTGAGCGCATGCGTGCATGAAAAGCGAGTGTTGCATCTTGGGAGTTGGAGTTCTGATCTGGTTGAGCTGTGACAGGGATGGTGAAAATCACCTGGATGATGAAACCTTCAAACATAGTGGCAAATGTTTAAGGGGAAATGTTTATCTCTAGTCAAATAAAATAAAAATAAAATATAATAATAATAATAATAATAATAATAATAATAATAATAATAATATAAATAAAAATAAAAATAAATAAAAGGATTTATAGCAAAACCTCATTATGGGGGGAAAACCTCACCAATTAAGATGCTCATAAAACCTTTTCAGACAATTTACGTATAAAACTGCATGAATGCAATAAATTGAATTTAGTTTTTAGAATTTCTTTTTTAGGCATATTTGATTATGAAATGTATTTATATATCTTTACAGTCTTTTGCTCAGTCCTATACACATGCATGTGTACATACACTGTTCTACCAGCAGATGGAGGAATATAACAAGACTATAACCTGTTTAAAGGTCATCAACTTCAATTAGATACATAATGACTACTATTCTAAATTATGAAAAGTAATTATTATATATCCATAATCCCCTATGCAGGAAAGCACTATAATCATAACACTATACAAATTTGAAAAGATTTGAAAAAGTTGACAAAATAAGGTAAAACTCATTAGAAAAACTCATCTGTTACAAATTAGAATAATTGTAACATGTCTGTTCAAAGACAATTCCTATTGTTTAGTATAGAGCATATACGGGCTGCTACCCTTTCCAGATAATTATATAAGGAATATGACTGGACAGGGCATACTGTTATCAACAGAGCGGTGGTACTGTATGGCTACCACCCCAAATTTTAATAATTTTACACAGAAGCACCTCCCAAAGTGTTTCATTCCTCTCATGAAAGCTTTACGACATTAACTGTTATACCCAATTTTTTTCAATAACAACTCAATTGATTCTTTTTTTATGCCATTAATTTGATTATGTTCTGTATTCAGTGGTATGCTAAAGGTTTTGTTTTATGTCTTGCAAATTATTTCCTGTCCTTAGATCCTACCCTTAGATCCTTATACATGATCCCTTAAATACCTAAGTAGGTAATAGTGATCAGTGATCCTTGATTTCCCAATTCCACAGTATTTTCTGATGTTGACGTTGGCGTGTCATGTTAGCCTTCAATCATTATGCATTTGTATATTTATTCAGTCCGTAACTTACCCATGTCTCATGGTAGTAAATCTAAACACCTTAAGCGTCTCCATTTTACCCAAGTGGATTCAGAGCTGTTCTGTCTTATAGAGTCCATTATTGTTAATTTAATCAGTTATTAAAAATTAATACAAAATGCCCCTGTTGATAATTATTAGTTAAAATACATTATGTAAATGGTCTGTACTTATATAGCACCTTTTAACCTACAAAGCACTTTACACTGTTTTCATTCACCCTTTCACACACAGCAATGGCAGCAGAGCTGCCATGAAAGGTGCTATCCTGCCATTGAGAGCAACTTGGGGTTAAATGTCTTGCCCAAGGACACTTCAACATGTGGAGGAGCTGGGGATCAAACTGCCAACCCTGCAATTAGTGGACAACCCGCTCTACTACCTGAGTCACAGCCACTCAGTCCAGCTTTCTGTCATATACCAGCAGATGGCTGAAAGGCATACCTTGCTACTCAGTATTGGCAAGGTTACTTAACATGGGTTATATACATGCTTATTCTTCTTCGTCTTCTTCTTTTTCTTCTTCTTCTTCACTGCCTTTCTTGAGATTTCTAACAGAACTGTTCAGGATGCAGCCCACTTCACAACTGGACTATTTTAGCACTGCCATTTTCCCAGAGGCCCTATGACCCACATTGGGCAGCAAATATGCCAAAAATAGAACGTATTCAAGTAAAGTATATGTAACTTTAAGAGAAGTTATATTATATAACACTACAAGCCATACACATGGAACGAAGTAGTGAAGCTATTACAGTTAAATCTATTTACCAACAACCAGCACAACACATGGTATATTGACATATTTGGTTTGTTGACAGTCACAGTATACTGAAGGGTTTGTCACCACTGAGCTAACCAATTAAAAGGCATGTGCACAGATTGACAGATTTAACTCCTGCCCTTTTGTACTGAACAGACTGTACAAGTGCTATCTTGGGCAGTGTGTGTGAAGTATTTTTTAATTTGGACTCTAGATGGCACACAGAAAAAAACAAGGAAGTTATTTTGATGTGCGTGCTGCCACACCTTCCCAGTATCACTTTCCATTTGTTCTCAGTCTTACCCCAGAAGAGGCATTAGGTTGGCTTGAGTTCCAACAGTTTCACTGACAATAGGTGACCAATCTGGTCCAGTAGTATTAATTGTATATCAGTAAGCATCCTTTCATCTACAGCAGTGGTTCAGAGGGGGTAAGGGAGCAAAATGCTGAGATTTACTGTTCATTTAATTCAGCCTCTCATGGCCAAAATAAACTTGTGCCCCCTCTAATGTACAAACAGTGAAACTGAAATGTTATAAAGGTTAAAAACATGACATCCAATCAAATTATCTTATCATGACTCAACAGTCATGTATCTGTGGCTCAGGTGGTAGAGTAGGTTGTCCACTAATCGTAGGGTTGGCGGTTCAATTCTCGGCTCACATGTCTCCACATGCCGAAGTGTCCTTAGGCAAGACACTGAACCCCAAGTTGCGTAGCAGCTCTGCTACCACTGGTGTGTGTGTGTGAATGGGTGAATGAGACACAGTGTAAAACGCTTTGGATAAAAGCGCTATATAAGTATGCCATTTACCACTTACCATATGTCATTTATCGCATGTGATAAAACAAAGTAATAGCTTGTAACATTAAAATGGAGAAGTGGCTATAAAGAACTCGGCCTGTAACCACAGCAAGCACCTCTACTTACAGAGCTGCTGATCCACAGTCCTCTGACAGCAGTAGCCCAGGCCCTTCTAACAGCTAACAGCGCATCTGTAGCGAACGTAAGTGTACCCACTGCTACTTGCCCAGTTCACGCTACAGACAGCAATGTATTTGAATTCGAAACGCCACCTCTTCTTCACCAGCAGGTCATAGAAAAACCATCAAATAGGATGACAAATATATTTCTTTTTCCTTTATATACATTGGCAGTGAAGAAAATCCCCTGCCACGGTATTTCTGCGCAGACATTTAGAAACAAAGCATGCTACTTTGAAAAATAAGCCTTAAGAGTTTTTTGAAAGACATTTATGACAACTCAGGAGTAGTAAGGCCCTTGGCCTATAACAGCATCAGAAACCCTAAATAGGAAGGGTCTGGAAGGATCCTACATGGTGAGTGAGAGTGGCTCAGACAGGCAAACACCATATTATTGTGGAGGACTTAATTATTCCTGCTGTGGCTGATATAACTGGTAATATAACTGATATAATTGGTGAAAAGGCCAAAAAAAAAAATACAGAGGATGCCATCATCAGACAACACAGTTTCAAGTCACATAGCTGATTGTTTTAAAACAACTATTGCTTTGCATAGAAGCCAGCAAATTCTACACTTTACAGATTGATGAATGTAGCTGATTTAGTGCAACTGCTGGGATATGTCCGGTACATACACAATGGCTCAATTGTGGAAGATGTACGTTTCTGTAGACCGTTGGAAGCCAGGGAAACTGGTGAGGACATTTTTATGTCTTGACTATATTTGTAACATCACATGGACTTTCATGGGCAAAATGTTTTGGCATCTGTACTGATGGAGTGAAAGCCATGACAGGGAAGTATAGTGGAGTAGTAAAACGCATACAAGCATTTGCGCCCTATGCAGCTTGGGTCCACTGCAGAATCCACAGAGAGGCGCTGGCCACCAAGAGAATGCCTGACCATCTGAAGTAAGTTTTGGTCAATGCTGTAAGAATTGTTAACTTTGTTAAAGCAAGGTCCTTGAATTCTCGTTTCTTTTCTACATTCTGCCATCCATTCTCTGCCACCCCCACAGCACATTGCCCAATACTGAGCAAGAAAGCCTCATTGAAATCTCTATAAGTGGCTCTTTGAAAATGGACTTCGTACAAAAGTCACTCCCCGATTTCTGGATATCCTTGCATGCAGAGTATCCTGCCTTGGCAAATCGTACTGTAAATACATTAATGCTGTTCACAAAGATG